CTGGGCAGAGCAGTAGAGGGCAGGGGGGCCTGGAGATGTCTCATCCATCGGGTCACCGTGGGTCAAGATCAATGTGAATGCAGTTAACAACAACAACAAAAGGTTAGAGAGATCAATCCCTGTGCCAGAGGATAAATGGACATAAATCAGACATTGGGAATGGGAATACACAAAAAAACAGTAGCAGAACATTTCAGTCTCCCTGGGCATTCTATCTCAGACCTCAGAACAGCAGTCCTTGGACAAAAGAACTACAAAGGTAGATTGGAAAGAGAAACAGCCGAATTGGGATTTATCCACAAACTACAGTCCCTCAGCAATGGATTGAACAAAGATAATGCATTCCTTACTCACTACACACACTTCAATACTGTCTGACCCCATCCTCAGAGGGGTACCCTACATTCATCTATTCCTCTCACCACAAGCTAGTCCCATTACAAAACTGGATCTGCCAATTCAGCCCATGTACAAAGACCAGTTTCCTATGTCTTTGTGCTCTAACGACCATAGTTAAGACTGGACCTGCCACTTCATTTCCATACACAAAGGATTTGTAATTTGAAATGACATCCTCACATATATATGTCTGTGCCTGTCCTCCACTCCACCAAATGCATCTGAGGAAGTAGGCTGAAGTCTATGAAAGCTCATGCTGCCAATTTCTTTCTTTCAGTTAGTCTCAAAGGTGCTACAAGATCTCTCTACATACTGATTCTATAGATTAACATGGCTATATCTTTGAATTCTTTCTGTACTTTTGTAGTTGAAGAGTGGGGTATAAATACTCCAAATAAATAAATAATAAATAAATAGGGCTGGTGTCACCCGGTGTGGTCACTCCTGGTGTCATCCCTCTCATTGACCTCCTCCATTTCCCACCATACAGAATCGTTTTTTGTTGTTAACTGCACTCAAATGGTTCTCAGCCCATGGTGACTCTGTGGATGAGACATCTCCAAAACTCCCTGTCTCTCACTGCTCTGCTTAGTTCCTGCAAATTCATACCCATAACCTCCTTAATAGAGTCCATCCATCTAGCATGTGGCCTTCCTCACCTTCTGCTTCCCTCCACCTTTCCTAGCATTATTATCTTTTCCAGTCAGTCATTCCTTCTCATGATGTGTCCAAAGTATGATAGCTTCAGTTTTGTCATCTTGGATTCCATGGATATTTCTGGCTTGATCTGTTATAGGAATTATTCGTTTGTCCTTTTGGCTGTCCACAGAACCCTCAACACTTGTCTCCAGGACCATAGATATAGATATAGATATAGATATTTGCACGAATGTTCCTCGTAAACCGTCATTCCCATATATACTACTGAATGTCATGCTTATAATCGTGAAATTAAACTAATCTTAAAATTAAAACTATACCTTCAAATTACAATCTCATACGCACTACCTCAATGTGTTTGCATATACATCGTGAAGATTTGATTCAAATGAGATGTTTTTAAAGAAAAATTTTAAAGAATTTTAAAAAATTCAATTTTTTAAATAAATTTTTTTACATTTTTAAATTTTAAATTTAAAAAAATGCTGAGGCCTCTCCTTTCCCCTCCCACTGAGCTTCACCCCACTCCCACCATCTCTTAAAGCATTTTGAAGGGAAGCAGGTGAATGTCACAGCCCATTTCTGCCAAAAAGTGTTTGATGAGTAGTGATGTCACCTGGTGTGGTCTGCACTGTTGCACTCCCCTAGTGAAGCCACTGTTATTATTATTATTTTATTTTATTTCTTATGTCCTGCCTTTCTCCCAACATAGGGACTCAAAGTGGCTAACAGCACATTTAAAAACAATACCATTTAAAAATGGTACATTAAAACCCTATCATGGGGTTTTCTTGACAAGTTTGTTCAGACGGGGTCTGCTATTGCTATCCTCTGATGCTGAGAGAGTGTGACTTGCCCAGGGTCATCCTATGGGTTTACATGGCACAGCTGAAAATCGTACCCTGGTCTCCAGAGTTATAGTGCTAACCTCAAATCACTACACCACGTTGGCTCTTATTTTCAAGTCTAGATATTTTATTATGTTTGTTGTTGTGTGCCTTCAGATCTTAGATATCCCCTTATGTTGGTTGTGGTGTGCCTTCAAGTCCTTTCCAACATATGGAGACCTTAAGGTGAACCTATCACAGTGTTTTCTGGAACTAAGAGACTGTGACTCACGCAAGGTCACCCAGTGGGTTTCCATGGCCAAGTAGGGAATCAAACCCTGGTCTCCAAAGTTATAGTCCAGTGCTCAAACCACTCCGCCACACTGGGTCTCATTATGTCTGTTGTTTGCTGTGTGCCTTCAAGTCATTTCTGACTCACGGTGACCCTAAGGTGTACCTATAATGGCCTTTTCTTGTCAAGATTTGTTCAGAGGAGGCTTTGCCATTGCTTTCCCCTGAGGTTGAGAGAGTGTTATTTGCCTAAGGTCACCCAGTGGATTTCCATGGCTAAGCTGGGAATCAAACCCTGGTCTCCAGAGTCATAGTCCAACTCTCAAACTACTACACCAACTGGCTTTCGTTATATGCCAATACAGGTATTCCAAAAAATTTTTAAAAAATCAAAAACACTTTTGGTCCCAAGCATTCTGGAGATTCAACCTGTACTTCAGAATAACCCTCTGTTCACCATCTCAGCTACCATTTTGTCTAGGTCCCTCTTCACAACAACCCACATATACCATCCCCACATTTTTTTAAGACAAGCGAAGGCTGAGGGCAGGAAGCTTGTTTTGTTAGGGAGGAACTGGTTAACAACTCACATCATAGCCAGTTGAGATTCCCCAGCTTGACTCATGGGGATTCTCCAGTGTGATTTGTGATGGACTTTCAGTGTGGCTTGCCTAATTAGTTGTGAAACAAGCAGGATTTTTAACATAACTTTATCACCCTGCAGTGATAGGGAAAGCTTTACTTATTGATTTCTACTTACCTTGCTGCTGCACACTGCCTCTGTATATTGAAGAAAGAAAAACAAGACTTATGTGCAAATTGTAAGTTTGGCTGCAGGCCTACTCACAAGGCAGCTGTCCTTTTGGGGCAGCTTGTGTAAATTGCAGTGTTTTTGAATTCATCTTGAAAAGTAAACAGCACATATAAACCAGAAGTTTCCAGTTTGGGATTTGTGTACAGGTTACATTCTTGTGCCATAATCCCTGGCAGATGCTTAAGGATGGATTCCTGTAGCAGTCCCAGTAGTGAGACCAAATCTTGAGAGTGACTTTCCTTATTTATTTATTTAGAATCACAGAATCTAAATATTGATTCTATGATATTGAATTTATATCCCGCCAATTCAAGGGGCCTTACAATAATATTTAAAAGGTCCAGCTAAAACATTAATTAACAAAAGTTAAAAAGAAATTAAATATCAATAACGTTGTATTGGGAGCTAGTGAGGCGCAGTGGTTTGAGTGTTGGACTATGATTCTGAAGATCAGTGTTCGATTCCCAGCTTGGCCATGAAACCTCCTGGGTGAGCTTGGGTAAGTCACATGCTCTCAGCCTCAATGACAAATCTCCTCTGAATAAACCTTGCCAAGAAAGCCCCATGATAGGGTTGTCATAAGTCAGAAGTGACTTGAAGGCACAGAAGAAGAACAACAACAAAGGTTGTATTGATATAGGTTGTATCAAGGCTGTGGCAGAGATGGAGGCTCAGTTGGCAATCCTGTATATCAAGGTTCAAATGTTTTGACCAGTACTACTCAATGTGGTTGTCCATGGACCAGGGCTGATCCACAAACCATCAGCTGCTAGTCCTTGCAGAGTTTCCAGGAAAGAAGTAATTGTAACCAGTGAGCACAGATATGATACCATCCCTTTGCATGTTGGAGGGAGGTGGAAAACATTGGAACAACATACCAGATAGCTTAAGCTAGTTTAGTTTAGACTGTGCTTTTCAGCATTACAGTCGACCCTCCACATTTGTGGCTTTGACTTTCGCAAATTTGATTATTCATGGATTTTAGTAATATGTTCTCTTGGAATCTCTAGGTTCTCCAGCATGACTCTTTTGGAAGTTGACCATAGAATCATGATAGAAGATCTAGAGCCTCCTAGAGAAAACATTTCTCTAGGCATTTGTAGTTCCTCCAGTGTGATTCTGTGGTCAGTTTCCAGTGGATGTTGACCACAGAGTTGCACTGGAAGACCTAGAGTTTCCTAGATAGGTGTTCTGTAAGGTAAAAATGTAGTGTGCTTTTTTTATTTGTGGTTTTTCTACTTTCATGGGGATCCTGCACTCCTTACTCCAGCGAATGGGAGGCCCCACTGTACTTATAGCAAGCATTCTACTGATAGTTATGACTGGTTGCAATTCACAATAGATGCTTTCATGATTTGGATAACCCACTATTATCACAGTCTACCACAGTTCCAAAAACCATACTGGATGTGAGATAACCTTATTGATAGCTATGCTGTTTTCACCCTGATTTTTAAAGAAGAATATCTCCTTTTCTATGGGAGACACTGACTACCACATATACACTTATCTGTGTGGGGGAAGATTTCCAAAGGATGGGTGTATTTCCCATATGCAAAGCAAAGAGCTTAGGAGGAGAACCACCACTGTAAAATATGCACAATAAAGAAGAAAATATTTTTTAAAAAGGTTCACAAAATGAGCTGTTCTTTAACATGCAAAACATGGTCCTGAACACATGTACGTCAGTGATGCAGTTTTACAATACCAGTGGGCAGAGCGAATAGGAAATTTCAAAAATTAAAACAAAATCAAAGTTGAGTGGGGAAGTAAGGAAGTTCACAAAATGGCAGAATGTCAGGAGCTTACCTGCCATGACAAACAGAGTCATGTTTGCTATTATTGCTTTGCTTGTTTAGAACATGTTATGTGGTATTGATATGGCTAGTAGGACACAGTAATCATAAGTTAATTAGTAGGGCTATTGCTCACAATCCTTTGGTGGTTAATGAGCAGAAGAGAAAAAGGGAGGAAGGACGGTGTCTGGAGTTCCAAGGTCAGTCCCACAATCATTGGATGGTACAGGATAAAAGGAGGGGATGATGGGAAGAATAAGGAAAGGTATCTGTTTGGATTTATGGGCTAATGGAGTACTAGCCCACTCACAATTTGAATTATGATATATTTTAACTTTCCTGTAATAACGGTGGACTCTCAGTGCTGATGATATAAGACACCACTATTAAAAGCCTGGATTTCTGAACTTTAGTGTTCCTGTACATGACACAATAGCAAGAAACTTAATCACTGTCAATCACATTACAGGAAGCATCCAGCCACTCTCCATGACTGCATCTGCACTGCAGAAATAGTGCAGTTTGGAACCACTTGAACTGCCACAGCTCAATACTATGGAACTCTGGGATTTGTAGTTTTGTGATATTTAGATATTTAGAGATATTTAGCCTTCCCTGTCAAAGAGCTCTGGTGCCACAACAAACTACAAATGCCAGTATTCCACAGTATTGAGCCATGGCAGTTAAAGTGCTGTCAAACTGGGTTACTGCTGAAGTGCAGATGCAGCCTATGGCACTCTCTCAATCATATTCCATGACAATGGCATTTCATAGAAGTATTATGTTTTCTGAAGTACTGTACAAAATCCTGTGCTTGGAAAATGCAGTTTCTCCACAAGCAGAGCCTCAAGGGAAGATATGCAGATAGTGCATATCTAAATGAGTAACAAATGAATACTTACAGTACAAAAGCCCGATTGTACAGAACTGCTCCAACCTCTTTTCTTCTCCCCTCCCCTTAATTTCCATGATCCTACCTTTTCCACTTTCTTCCCTGCTGTGACTGTTTCCATGTTGAAGTCTGTCAGTGTATTTGTGGTATTTTGCACAGCTTGTTGCCAGTAAATGAGTAATAATCAAATAATAATAAAAATGGTAAGCTAGAGTTAAAGTTGACAGGAATTCAGAGGGAATGGGAAGCTCAATAAAGAAAAATAACAACCAGAAAATGAAGAAAACACAGCACATATGCCTCTCTTCAAGCACTTAATTTTGCACAATATAATCCAGATAACTGAGAATGTACACTGCTGTTTATTAATGTCATTGTTGTTCATAAATTTGGGGCACCATTCTCCAAACTACAACCCTTCTGATGCAGTCTGCAAGCCCCATCATTCCCAGTCATTGCTGACAGAATACTTCTAGTTTCAGAGGCATTTCTTGTTAATCTCATGTTCAGTAATTGGCATGCAAATCTCACTTAAAAGTCATATTTTCTCTTTTTACTTTTCTTTTCTTGTTCCTCCCTAGTCTTTATGGCTGCTGTTTGTTTTGTTTCCTCCCCCACTCTCTACTTGTTCATTCTGCTTTCTTCTTTCTACTTTCCTATTTTGGTTGATGCTGTTTTAATATTTTGCAGCATGGCTCCAATGCCTATTGAGCATTGACACCTGGTGCTGCAGATGTTAATAAATTCCACTAACATGTTGTGTTTAAGGCTTTCCCATGGTTATTTAAGCTACAAAATGCCCGGAAATTGCAACTGTTGAGAACTATGCCCTTAATAGATGTTATTTAGGGAATATGAAATCCTATGCCATAATTAGTTCCAGTTTTGCCGCTAACAAGAAGTTAAAAATAATTATTTGCAAATCACTTATTACCTTCTTGCTCCAGTCACAAAGGTGTAACTACTTTACATAATAACTGTAACTTAAGAAGTGATAGCTATGCACCTTTTGTGATATTATTGTAACATCATTGATTGCAGCACTTAAAGTGGTGTCAAACTGAATTATTTCTACAGTGTAGATGC